ATTTTCATGGCTTTTTACAGGCTGGGTAATTTGGGATTGCAGCCTATGCATTTTGAATCTACGTGAGGAGATGCCAGAAAATCCTATGGAGAACGTTGACAACTTTGGTTTAGCAAGTCGTCATTCTGGTTAGGTCGAGGCCACAAGTCCTGTGAGTGTTCATTCTAACCTCAGCTCAGTTTTCAAAGCCTTTACAATACTGTTTGGATCTGCCACCATCTTGTGACCATGGTGAGACCTGGGGAGAGACCTACCTATCAGCAGAGGTCTCAAATATGTTTGGTATGCTAGTTAGAGTCAACAGGTGAACGGTGCGGACCAGGTGAGCAGGTAAGGGGTGAGCCCGAGCTCATAAAAAACTTTGTGGAGTCCCTACTCTCTCTCCTGTACTTCCTGGGCGCTCTAGCCCGGCCCTTCCAGCCCACTCCAGTAACTGAGTCTCAGCCCCACCCCCTTGGCGCCACAGCTCTACCAAATGGAAAAGAAATTCCCTTCCCTCAGACTCTCGGCTCCTGCAGGCTCCTAATGGCAGCCAAGGGATTAGCTGGGGCTCCAGCACGAAAAATGGATGAGGAGGAGAGCAAAAAAAGGGCATGGTCCCCACCCTGAGCTCTAGCCCTTCTGATTTTGTTCTGCAAGCCTGGCCTCTCCGGGGCCTCTGCACCACTGTGCTCACTTGTGCAACTGGGGCTGTGCTGCCTTCTGGCTGGGAGATACCCGAGGAATACAAACATGGTAAACTCACCACTTCAGCTGGACTTAGAATCCCGGTGTTCTCCCCGACCTGCTTGGTGCTATTTACCTCTTCGAGTCTTCCGGTGGTTGTGACGCGCATGCTGTCCGGGTTTCCTTACTGTGCTCAGTGAGAACAAAAGGAAGGTGTGTGTTAACTCCACTTCCATCTGGAACACAAACCTTCCCTACGATACTAAAAGCTAGAGAACGTGTAGAACATTATTACGTACTTGTGCACCCCCCAAAGAGCGTCTGTGTAACTCCGTAGATAAGTGTTTGGAGAAAAGGTCTGTGAGTTCACGTACCCAAGTTAACACTCTTTTCCTCTTCGAAGGGGGGCAGAACTTTGGTGAAGGGGGGCGCCTGGAAGAACCTCCACTTTTTACTCTCTGCTGCTTTTTAAATTATTTTAACAATGCACTATTGCTTTGGTAATTTTCAAAATAGGAAGGTGTGAGAGAAACGACAAGGAAAAATTTATAGTTCAACTTAAAGGGTATATACAGAAAGTATCTTTGCTGGGTATGACACATCTTGTGAAACATCGGTCTGATGAAAAATCCATTTATGAGCCAACATGGTCATACATTTTCTTCAACCACTGATGTCCTAATCAGATTTCCCACAAAACAGAAATTTTAGCCTGCAGGATGAATTAACTTTATTCACATTTTCCAAGTGAATCCAAGTGAATTAACTTTATTCACATTTTCCAATTGCAGTATTAAGTATAAGCTAAAAGCAATACATAGTTCTTAGAAAATATAACCCCAAATTCTCATCGCCTGAGCTTTGTGATTACAGGTGCCCAGCCTCTGCTCCTTCAGAATGTTAAAGTGAAGTCCGTACTCAAAACAAACATAACGACATGGGGAGACTGTTCTTAAGTACAGTTTTGCTAATTATAAAAGAAATCCAAAAAGAGGCTTCCAGTGTCTTCATGCAGGTGTCCTTTCGTCAAAATGGAAATAAGTATTAGAGAAGTAACTTATCTCTATCTCACACTAGTAGGCTTGAAGGGAGCAAATTGGGGCCAATAATCTAGACATGGTTCCTTGCACAGAATTTGGTATTAAGCAGATACTCACACTGAATAACTCCCTATTCATTCTGTTGTACGAAAATCCATTTCAAATGCAAACATTTTGAAATGATCGGGTCACATCGTTAGGATCCCTCTTTAAATATTGAAGTAACTTATCACCAGACTATAGTAAGGACCTTATGAGTCAGGCATTAGCATTTTACTATCAAACCAAATACAGAATCCAGATAAATAAACATTAGCACCATTTTTAATTTAGTCCAGGGTAAAACCATCCACGAAACTATTTTTTTACTGAAGCAGTCGACAAGAAAAGTTGTTTTCACGTCTAACATATGCTTTGCCTCTCTCCCTCTTTGCCAATGATACTTTTAAACATTTTAAATACCAAATACTACAGCATTCCATTTTTAAAGTTTACGCTCAGTCCAGCATTTCAAGTTAAAAGGAGGAGGGGAATCACTACAGATTTTTTTAAACCCCGCCAATAGCACAGATTTGTTTTGGAAGGTGACTTCTAACAATGCACAGACGCCCTTCATGCAATTTAGCTGCAATTCAGTTGGAGTGACCTTGCATACACACCTTTCAAGTTATTAGCAATTTTTATTGAATGAAACAATGACAAAGCGATTACATATATGAAGTGCCATTAATATATGCCCACTACATCAGGAGCAACTAAGACAACCTACACCCTATTATAGGTTTAGTAAACTTTAAAAAATGTATATGTGTGCTTAGAAATGTTATGGCAGTGGAGGGGTCCATATATATACAGATATATATAGATACATATATAAAACCAGAAGTACCCAGGCTTCTGATACTCCTGCATAAGAGCAGCCTTCTAGGTTTTAAGAGAAAGAAAAAAGAAAGAACTGATTCCTATATACTTCTCATCCACCTTGGTCCAGGAGACTGCTAGCTGTTTTTCAGGATTCTATTACTGTTTTTAATAAAAGTAACATAGCAAACATGTTTATGGTCAAGAGTTTTAATTTTAAAGCCAAAATATAAAAGCGTCTTAAGTAGCAGTTACTTTATTCTATCTTTCTAAGTGTCACTGGAATCTCCAACAGTTTTAAACTTTTCAACATGAAAGGTAATTTTAAAAAACTATCTTCCTGTCTTCCAATGTGTCCCATGAACTAGGAACATGGTTACAAATACATGAGTTTCTAGAGTGAGAAGGAAAAAGTAAGACCATTGAATTGTTACCACCTAAAAAAACATCCTGGGCTCAAAGGGTAATTTTCACCCCTAAAAAGAAGACACCTTAACCAACTAATGGCTTGGGCGTAGGAAGGGCACTCACAATTAATTCAGATTGATTTTTTGCTCATGCACATTAAAAGTACTTTAAAAAGCTTGTTCATTTGTCCTCTACTTAAAAAGGGGGACAACTGGTCAATATTGCCTTCTAGGTTTTATTTCTATCTGGAGTTTTCAGTAGTAAGCACATTAAATCCGAGTCTGTCTCTGATGGAGAGAGTCTGGCTTGGTCAAAGTCTAGAGGAAGTTGGGTTTCTAAGGCAGCCCATCGGTGGGGGGTCTGAGCCACTCCCAAGGGTAGCTTCCGTAAGATTGTCGGGCGCAACAGGAACGTTTGAGCTTCATGGCTAAAACCAAACATGCAAGAAGTGGTCGGAAAGGAACAGCTTTTACAGGCAGCGACACCATCACTGCGCCACAGTAATCTCACCTTCAGGTACTCGCAGTGGTTAAGGACTTTAATATAATTACAGCAGTGTTCACCAGAATTATTAGCAAGGTCATTTGGACCAACATACAGAACTTCCTGTTAAATAGACATCTCAATGATTAGAAGAGCTCTCTATGTAAAAGAATTCACTGCAAAACAATGCAAATGTTTAAAAAGTATTTTTTTAAAGCTCATGATTAAGTGAGTTCTCAAAGCTCAATACGGTTGTCAGAGGACACTGTGTGAAGACTTTATGTGGAGTAAAACGTATTTGTGTTCTAAAACTTGACAGCAGGGGCGCCTGGCTGGCTCACTCAGCAGAGCATGCGACCCTTGCTCAGAGGGTCATGAGTTCAAGTCCCACGCTGGGTGTGAAGCCTACTTAAAAACAAAGGTAAAAACTGACCATAATACTTCAAAGATACAGAGTAAAAATATCAAGGGAATATTCAACCTCACATCTAATGGCAAAGTTTATTCACCTGTCTCCAGCTGCCCACCCGGCCTAGGCAGAGGCCTTTTTTCTCTCTTACAGAGAATTTAGCACTCATCCTTCCTGTAGATTCCTGTATCTGCTGGGTAGAAACCAGCATTTCTCAAAACCATCTTCTACCGTAAATGTACCGGGGAAGGAGAACCTCGTTTTCACACTCACATCTGTGCCTTGACACACACTACTGTTCTCCCACTGCACGTTCTCTGTAAGGCCTACTGGCTAGGAATCCAGGAGTAACACGTCTTGGCCAAAAGTCTGAGTAACGTACAGCGTCAAAGCTTTGTTATGAATGCGTCTGGAGAGAGAAAGCGCAGAAAGGAGGGGTAAGCCACATCTCCAATTGGTATCTTAATATCTGCCCCCTGACCCCAATGAGCAGGACAATCTCAACATAATCACATAAATTTCACATTGTAAGTTGTAAATGTCACTCCCACTATAGATGAGGCGAAAGTCCACAGTAAGTTATGTGCCAAAACACCACAATGCAGTGAGGAACTGATTGCCCGTTATGTGCTCCAAAAAACAAAAAAAGTTGCAATAATAATAGAAAAAGTTTCCAAAGAAACTTCGGTACTACTCTAAAGACACAGCAGTGGCACTTCATTCACTGGAATGCATTCGATCTATTGAGCTATGAAATAAGTGCCTCGATGACAATTTAGAGAAAAGAGGACCCTCACCCAACCCAGAGAATTCTTAACTATCACAGTCTATGTGACGTGGGGCCAAAACCAAAACACAAGTAAGTTCTGGTTTCAGTGCGCAAGGAGTCAGTATTAGTGCTGAAACTCACTTGACAAGCTGCTCTTCCACAAGAAAACTCCACATAAGGAAAATGGGTCTCAAGCTGCAAGTCAGGACGATCTTACTGGCTACGGGGTCTGGGAAGGGGTGAGAACAGGAAGGAAATGGGCTCCAGCTAAGCTGGCAGAAATACCGAGTGCGAAGCATCTGTAGCCACTTAAAGGCATTCGGTGTCGGTGTCTGAAAAGATTAAGATGCTTTAAAACAAAACCCTTGTAAGAATAGCAAATATTTAGGGAATTAGCTTCAGAAATACCCAAATGTCTATGGCTTCAACTGTCGCCCTACTGCTGAGGTAGGTGACCAGGATGCAGCGAAACAGAGCAGTCTTCGGGTAATTCCCTACGGCAAACGCCGGGTCATCGCTGGTTTCTTAAACCTGTGTCTGTTTTCCTCTGACGTTTTTTCTTTTCTTCTGCTGCTTCTTTCTTCCGCTGACACTTCTTCAAAGAGGCTGTCCCAGCAGCCGTTCCTGCCTTCAGGCCCGTGCCGAGTAGCATCGCATGTACTCCGTCACCCACGGGTTCTCCGAGGGCGGAGGCTTTATCCTCCGGTTCTTCTCCACCTCCACGGAGTGGGCACGCTGCCTCTGAGTGACCAGTTTCCGTTTTTCCACCTGTCTTCTGTTCTTGGCTCGTAATGCTGACTCATGAATCTAAGTTATTCAAAAATAAACACCGATCATTTCCACAATAAATGCATAATAACTTACGTGGCTTATTGTAACAATTTTCAAGAGTATCAGTAACGAACGAAGCTAGGCACGGGTCACCTGAAGCCCGGCAGAGGCAAGCCTGGCCCTGAGTATGACAGTTTCTCCAGAACAGCCGTGCCCTCGCCCACTGTCAGCGACCAAGACGCTAAACCACCAAAAACAGCCACAGGACTGAATTTTAGTTAGAAATGCAAGCAACCAATTTGCAAAGTGCCTCTAGAAAATGGCTCTGGAAAATTATTGAAAAAGCTTAGCATTAAGCCTGGATAAGTATTCCGTTAAAGGACTTTAAATGTTTTATAACAACATACTACACAAAAAAAAGCAAAAAGTCTCCAGGGATTTTTACCACTTAAAACATTTCATACTACAGAAAAACTCTCTTAAACTTAATCCCAGAGTCTTTTGTTAAAGCACAGCTTCATTGTCTCAAATATCACTCCAGAAAACACCATCTGCTAGGGCTCATGCAGAAGTCCGTTCAGTGTAAATCTGATGATGGTATTTCATCAGAATTCAAACCATTCATACTTTCTGCTTCTTTTCATTCATTCCTTGCTTTAGGCTGTAGTGGCGGTGTTGACACTAATGTCCATAACTGCTCTGGGGCTCCACGCACCGAGACCTCTTGTCAGACACGTTATCAGGACCAAGAGGACGACGAAGGCTCCAAGAAGCAGGGGGCACCCGGTACAGACGAGCAGGGGAAAACACGAGCATCACACCGAATGCAAAGGGCAAAAGGGAGTCTACGGTAGATGCCAAGAACTACAGTAGACGCCAACCAACAAAAGAAAACAAAGGAGTCAAGGAACACCAGTGATCAAAGCCAAAGGAACTGGAAACCTCTCAAGAGGCCCATGGCAAATCTAGGGGCTGCCGCCAGCCCAGGTCGTGCTCCTCCTCCCTTGACCTACTGGCCCCCCAGGAGCCTGAAAACCCTGACCCCAGCCACTTCTTCACCTGCCTCCATATTGGTAAACCTTCCAGATCCCAGCTAACCCCCAGCAAAACCCCTCAATCTCCAGGAAGCTAACACCCAGACTTCTGTTTGCCAACCAGATGCCCGGGTCTGGGCTCTCCTTGGCCCCCTGCCATCCCTGAAGACCTACCGTGACCCCAAACCATCGTAGTAAACACAGGACATGCTCACGGCACAGACCCCAAATCCCACCTTCCCAGGAGAGGGAGGGAGGGCGGGTGCACGGGACCCACCTCGTGGACCGGAGCGGACGCACAGACATTGTGAGTTTTCTGGCTTCCTGTATCCGTCTGCTTTTCTCCCCACCCGTAAAGGGCAAATGGATGCTTGTTCTCTTTTATTTTACTCGATGACCTTTGAGGACTTTTGACTGCTTTCCTATTTCCTCTGGCAAATAAGGCACTTGGTTGCTGTCGAGGTTCAGTACTGTTAGGTAACTTCTCAGTCTCTTTTGTTCTGATATCTTGTTCAGATTTTTCTTGGATATCTTTCACGGATGGGGCTTTTGGGAAAAAGGAGATAAAACAAAATGAGAATGCTTTCAAACCATAGTTCTACATAATTACTTTAAACATTTGGGTTGTAAAGTTCAGAATGCTTAATTCAGTAACTTGTTCACTTATAGCTCAATTCATAATTTCCTGGAAAGCAGAAATACAGAAACAAGTTAGTATCATACTTTTCAGTCTATCCCGTTTTAAAATCAACAACAAATACATCACTATTGAACCAAGCCTATTCAAAAGCAACAACTGTTATGTGTATTCTGTTTTTTAAAAAGATTTATCTCTTTATTTTAGAAGGAGGGGGACAGGTGAGGGGAGAGGGAGAATCCCAAGCAGGCAGAGCCCAAAAGAGGGCTCGAACTCATGACCTGAGCCAAAATCAAGAGTCGGGCGCTCAACCCACTGAGCCACCCAGGAGCCCCTGTGACTCATATTCTGAGGTTAAGCATCTTAATTAAATATTAACAGCTAGAAAGCACCACAGCCTAACAGCTTTCTCCACAACCCCAAAGGAGGTCCAGTCGTCAATGCCTTGCTTCAGAGAATGATCTGGATTTGTGGTAATCACCCAGCAGCTGCAAAAGGTTAGTTTTTAAGTTACTCAACTAGAGTTCCAGGATTCCATTTCTTCCTGAGGCACCACGATTATGGAAAGCTCCTGATGGCACTTACACACTCAATTTCATGTCTTTCTGCTGTTCCATGACTATGGAGAACTCCCTAGGACTCTTACTTGCTCCTTGTAAGAGCCAGCTGGTGACCTCAGTCACAACAGGGAGTGGTTTCCATAGTTACTGGTGCTCAGCTCCACATTCCCAGTGTGAAGAGCTGGACAGAAGGGCTCCCGCAGCGCTTGTGACAGAAATGACCGCATGAATCAGAACCCACGGTCTACACGGTCCTAAATTCTGTCAGAGGAGCTGGAGGAACTCTGAAGGAAAACCGGACTGTCCCACTTGAGGTCAACACTGGACATTAAGGATACACTCTAAAACATACGCACTTCCCTAACATGAGTTTCATTATTTTTTTATACACCTTTTATCTCTTATAAAAGGTACATGGCTTTGTTTAAACCCTTTGCAAGCTCATGTTTCATTTCAGCCCGGATTTAGATCATTTGTTTTTATTGACATAAAACTTGTCTATAGCATTATATGAAGTTTGGGTATACGACATCATAATTTGGTATTTGCATTACACTGCAAAGTGATCACCACTGGAAGCCTAGTTACTGCCCGTCACCCGTTCTGCCCTCCCCCAGGCCCCTCTGGTAACCGCCCATTTGTTCTCTGTATCTAGGAGTCTGTTTTTGTTTGTTGATTTGTCTTGCTTTTTAGATTGTACATATAGCTGAGACCATATGGTATTTGTCTCTCTTAGTCTGACTGATTTCACGGAGTATGAAACCCTTCGGAGACACCCATGTTGTTGCAAATGGGAGATTTCCTACTTCCTTGTGGCTACTCTGAATAGTAGTCCGTCGTGTGTATGTATACGCCTTCCGTCCTTTATCCACCCATCCATCGATGGCCACTTAGGTTGTCTCTGTATCTTGGCTATGGGAAGTCATGCTGTGATAAACACAGGGTGCCTCTGTCTTTCCCAATGAGTGTGTTTGTGGTCCTCGGATAAAAACCCAGAAGTGGAATTGCTGGATCATATGGTTAGCTCTAGTCCTACTTTTGGGAGGAATCTCCATATTGTTTTCCATAAAGGCTGAACCAACTTATATTCCTACCAAGTGTGAGAGGGCTCCTTTTCTCCACATCCTTGCAATCCCTTTTATTTCTGCTTTTTGGTAACAGCAATTCTAACAGGTGTGAGGTGATATCTACAATTAGATATCACAACCACATCCATATCATAACACCATATCACCATATCATAACCACAACTGGTTTTGACTTGCATTTCCCTGATAATTACTGATGTTTAACATCTTTTCATTTGGCTATTGGCCATCAGTATATCTTCTTTGGAAGAATGTCTATTCAGATCCTCTGCACATTTTTTGATTTGGGTCATTTGGTTTTTGTTGTTGCTGAGTTGTGGGAGTTCTGTATATATTTTGGGTATTTAACTCCTTAGATTGTACATATAGCTGAGATATGTACAATCATATACGTCATTTGCAAATATCTTCTCCCATTCAATAGGCTGCCTTTTTATTTCGTTGACAGTTTCCCTCGCTGTGCAGAAGCTTTTCAGTTTGTTGTAGTCCCATTTGTTTATTTTTTGCTTTTGTTTCCCTTGCCTTTGGAATCAGGTCCAAAAAACACATTGTGAAGACTGATGTCAAGGAGCTTACTGCCTGTGTTTTGTTCTAGGTATTTTATAGTTTCAGGTCTTTAATCCACTTGAGTTAATTTTAATATCTGCTGTAAGACTGTGATCTAATTTCATTCTTTTGAGTAGGAGCTCCTTATGCATCTGGGGCATCATTTCACTTACCCTGGCTGTTTAAAGATCTCTAAGGTCTTAAGGATACCCCTCACTTTTTATGTTCCAGAATTTGTCTCCAGGTGGTAAGTTTATAGGTCGCTATTCCAAACCCTTGCCACTGCTTTAGGACATACTCTTGTCCCTTACTACTTTTAGCTGTGATTCTTTTCTTGTTTCTGTCCATGGTCCCTTTAGAGTGAGCTCCTGAATAGGAAGTCCAGATCCGTGGCACAAGTGTAAGAAGCCTCGATAGATCACTGCCATTTCGGTCTTCAGCAATGACAACGACCTTGATTCTACCAGACTGTTTCATTTATTACTACACATTTTAAGAAACAGATAATGCACTGACCCTGGAGTTTATTGCTTTGTACCACTGTGCCACATCTTTAAACACAGGCGTAAGCTGTTTGCAGATAAGGTGGGATACCCATCTTCCATCTTACCATGAAAACCTAAATCCATTCATCGCTCAAACATTCCTGAGTCATGTGTTCCCCACCTTGTTCTCTTCTCTTTTCTGGAAGAGGGGGAGAGGAGACCATCAAGACCAAGACAAAGGAAAATAGAAAGGGGGAGATGAAGGTTTGTGCAATCACAGGACTGAGAGAGAGGGAAAACAACCCGAATCATCATTGTTCAATTCCCTTCCTTCTCTTCTTGTCCCACTCTGTATGTGTCCAACCCAGGTCTGCCAGAGCAGCCAACCCAGAGAAGGTCATAAGGATGTAGTTTAAAGAATAAGCTAGCCTGGAAGAAAACAGAAAAGAGAATCTCAGCAAGGGAGAATGTCTTGTTCAAAGGCCTGGGAAAGAAGAGGGAGTCTAAATAGTTCAAAATGACAGGCACACGTAACATCTGTGGAGCAGATAGCACTGAGTTTCTATGCCAAACTCAGGAGTAAGGCCTCTACCGTCGTGCAGGATGAGCTAGAGGTGAAGGTGAAGACCAGTAGTCATGGTGGAGGTGGGGAGGCAAAGAAGGACCAGAGGGACCCACCGAGCCCAGCAGGTGCAGACTCACGGGCACTTGTGAACTACACACGTATCGGAACAGCAGGGAGGTGGGGCCAGAGCCATTCCAGAGCAGCCAGCCCAGCAGCACTAGGTAAGACCGACCGGCGGACATGGACGCGGCACAGCACTGGGGACAAAGAGGAGGCTACAGCTCCCACAGGTATTTGGAGTGGAGGGTCAGGCTAACTAACCTCCGATAAAAGGCCAAGGAAAGGATACTCGCCTCAGATGTGAAAGGCTTCTGGAACAAGCAAGCAGGCAGCAGCTGGACACTGACTCTGGGGCCCGGGAGAGAAGGCGGTGAGTGGGCAGGTGGGAGCTGGGGTTTGCATGTGGAACAGATCACCCCAGAAGCAACGCAGGCAGAGAAGGGGAGAGTGGAGTCAGGCCCGTGGGACCATTATGTAAGGAGCAGCCAGGCAGAGGAAGGAGCCCCCAAAGGGCAAGAAAGAACTTCTAGAAAAGTAGAAAAACTAACCAGGTGAGCAAAGAAGGGAAGCGCTTCGGTAAAGAAGGTATCAGTTAACGGGGCCACATGTGACGGGGGGTGGGGGTCAGTAGGACGAGGAGGAAGAGACTTGGCATCTGGCAACCAAGCTGTCCCACGGCTCACAGGGGGGGAACATGGGGTCAGGGAACCAGACCACAGTGAGTGAAGAGAGTGGACCCCGGGACCGACCCTCCCCAGCACGGAGTGTTCAAAACCCAGAGCGTCCGCAGGCGTCTAGCACAAGGAACTCAACTCTCCTCGGAGACCTGAGGCCCCAAGTTATCCCTGCGAGTGATCTGTCAAGCATAAGAACGAGTGTCCAGCAAACAGAGAGCAGGCGCACAGGAGTTATCACTGGCAGACGATAAAATAACAGCATTCACCCTCCGCAGAACTTCCAGAAAAAGACAAACTGCAGGCCCTCCGCAGGAGCAGGAGACAGAGACAGAAACTGCAGAAGCCACGGAGCTGACCACTAGAATATTAATATTTACAAAACTCTTGAAGCAGTGTCTGGCAGAGGAGAACTGTGTGTGAATCTGGGATTTAGAGTTCCCATTCAAAGGAAGGAGGCTCAGAATAAAGCCTTCAGACTAAAAAAAAACAAAAAAAAAAAACCCACAAAAACAGTGTTCTGGACATTACATCACAGCACAGCCCCCTTTCTCAGTAACCGACAGAAAATTCAAACAAAAGTAAACTCAGCCTTGTTTTAGGATTGTGCTATCCAATACCTAACCACATGTGGCTATTAAGGATAAGTTTAAAGGAATTAAAATAAAGGTAACTATTCAGTTCCCCACATCCGCTAGTCTGAGTTCAAGTGCTCAGTAAGCTCACGTGGCTGGTGATGACCATGCTGGGTGATACAAAGAACATATCCACCGTCATAGTAACTTTTATTCAACACTCTGATTTTTTTAAGTATTTGAACAATGGAATTAATATAGTCAACCTAATGGATACATGTACAACACTGTAGCCAATAACTACAGGATATAGAATCTGTAATAATATAAATGCTTGATGTTTACAAGAATGGACA